GCAATTACGACCTTGTTCATGCCAGGTACCAATCAATAATGATGAGGTTTGCATGTTTCTAGCTGGGGAAGGGGTAATAAACTAAGGGCAAACAGGACCAAATAACAGTTTAGGGAGAAGTTACTAACAAGCTAGATTTATAACCCTAGAATGATTTAGTTGCTTAAATGTATAAACATGCCTTCGGTAGAGAGGGGAGGGGGAGTAGAGGGGAGGTGATAGGAAGGGGGAGGGGGGGGCTTAGTTGTAAAATGTATAAAGAAGAGAGAAACTGTTTTTGCTGGTGTGCTCGATTTGAGACCTGCCTGTCTCCTTGCACCACTTTGGGATCTCAAATAAACTTTGATTGTTTCTCCACCCCGGTATGTTTATTGGTGTGAAGCACTCCGGGCACCGAACCCCACTGTTGCTGTCCTCGGGCTCCTGTGCCGGCAACACAGGTGTGACACTGACACCAGGTGCCAGCTCATGCTGATGCCCCAGGTCAATTCACTTGTGTGTTAGTATAGATCAAAGCGGTTGCTAAATGTATCAGTGTATATTTGCATTTTAAATTTCATAAAAATGAATGAGCCATTACTTGCATTGTTTTCACTTATCTATATCCTGTTATAATGGGGTAGCAAACATTGACATTGTGTATCCTCCTGTAACTAAATAACCCATCAAACATGAGAGAAGCCTTGTGGGATGCAAATGAAAAACTGTAACGGAAAAGTGCTAACTTCAAAGCAAGTGGCCATTGTGTGTGACAACCAGAGGCCAAAGACTCAAAGGGATTCCTCACTCTCTGTCATCAAAGGAAAAGACTACATGGGTAGTGACCCTATCAGATTGTTTTCTGTGAGAAGAAGCTACAGGTATGGATTCAAGAAAAGATCCCACATCTCTGGACTGTTTGGACTCTTACAGGGAAGTGTACCAGATGCAAAGTGGAGATCCCCAGAGACAATCAGGATACTCTGGAAAGACTTTTCGGACAGTGAGTTTATAACCTCACTGCCACCTAGGGTGACCAGACGTCCCGATTTTAGGGGACTTGTCCCACGTCCCGACCTTACATCGGTCGGGACGCACTTTGTCCCGATATTGGGGGACCGTCTGGTGGAGGACGCAAGCCAGCACTGCTGGCGCCGCTCACCTCTTCTTCCTGGGCCTGGGGCAGCGCAGCTGATCTCCCGGCGCTCACCCGCCGGCCGGCAGGAGCCTGCAGAGTGTTGCAGCCCCACTCCCCAGTGAGTAGACAGCGAGTAGGTCTTCACTGTGTGCTGCAGGGGCGGGGCTTGTAGGCGCTGGCAGCGAGCCCCCCCCCCCGCCCCTGTCCCCACCCTCTTCGACCCGACCCGACCGGCAAGACCATAGGAGCCAGAGGGACGGGACCTGCCTGCTGGATACTTCCTGGGAGCCGCTCCAGGTAAGGCTAGCACTGCCTGGGACTCACCTGGCTCTCTGGCGGGGGAGGAGGGGGGGGATCTGCGTGCTCCCCCCCCTCCCCCGAGGCGGGAGGTGGAGACGGAGACGGAGCAGAGGCAAGCTGGGGGGCGGGGCGTGGAGCTGCCGGTGGTTTCTCAGTATTTCCTGTGCTCCGGCAGTTTTTTTGTTTTGCTCCGCCGCCTGCTTGGTTTTTTTTGCTCTGCCACGGGCTGGTTTTTTTATTTGTTTTTTTGCTCCTCTTCCCCCTCCTTCCCCCCCCCCCCGACTATTTGACCTCTGTCATCTGGTCACCCTACTGCCACCATTTGGAATTACAAACTGTGACTCACCTGTGCATATATTTTACCTGCATTAACCTCCGAATAACTCTCATGACCTCTTCTTAGCTAATAAAAAGGGCCCTACCAAATTCATGGTCAATTCTGGTCAATTTCATGGCCAGAGGGTTTTAAAATTGGTCAATTTAATGATTTCAGATGTTTACACCTGAAATTTCACAGTGTCAGGCAGGGCCCCCTGGCAAATTTGGGGGTCCCGGAAAAATAGGTGCCTCAGTCCTGGAAGAAGCCCTGCAGGCAGAAGCCCCGACCAGGTCACCTTGAGCCCTGGCAGGAGCTGCAGGGGCTGAAGCTCCGAGCCTGGGTACACTGAGTCCAGCTGCAGTTGTGTGGCTAAAGGCCTGAGCCCCAGCAGGAGCCACCCGGGGAGGAAGCTCCAAGTCTGGAACTCAGAGTTGTGGGGAGGCGGAAGCCTGAGGCCCAGCTCCGGAGCTGCTGCAATGCAGAATTAAGGTTGTACCTCCCTTATTTCTGCTCTGCCTCTGGAGATGGGTCTGATCTCCCCACCAAGAGCAGTGTGCAGGGAAAGGAGAACTCCTGTCCCTCCCCAACCCCACCAGACTAGAAGCTAGGAGCCCTGGGTCCCAGCAGCACGGAGATATCAGATTTCACGAGGAAGGACTTATTTCACCGGTCCCTGACATGTTTTTCACTGCTGTGAAATTGGTAGGGCCCTACTAATAAACCTATAGTTAGTTTACTATGGAATTGGCGACCAGCGTTGTCTTTGGTGTAAAACAATAGATCTGGAGTAAGTGACTGGTCTCTTGGGACTGGGAGCAACCTGATGTGACTTGATTTTTGGTTTATGTGACCTTGTATCACAAAGTCCAGCGTGTCTAGGTGGCAAGGTAGACCAGAGAGTCTGAGGGAACAGTCTGTGACTCCATGGTAAGACTGGTATAGTGATCCAGTTCACATTTGTCACTGGCTTGGGGAAATCGAATTATAGAACCCATCATCAGTTTCAGGGGTCTGCCCTGTTTTTCTGACAGTCTGCCCTGAGGTTGGCACTCACAGTTGTGAGCCACACCAGACAGAGTGACAGTGGGCTCCAATGCGAGTCACAGCACCAAAGTGTTGACTGGTTCTTTTCCCTGCTACCCAGAATGACAGATTCACAGACCGACTCTGGAGCTGAAGAAGTATGTTGTTTATTTGCTTCTTCAGTACATGATCAGTCCACCAAAGCAGGGCACAGCATAAGGTTAAATGCAAGCGCACACCCACATTCGGGTGCTCGCCTTAAATACATTGTTACAAAGTTACTCGTTGTATAGTGTACACATACTTTTCTGCCTAGCCCTAAGATTAGTTTGCTAATTCAGTTGTTTACCTGATTGGACTAATGACAAATTGTTAATCTGTTCAGGTTGCTGGCTCAGCTTTTAACTGGTTGTTCTTCCTCTCAGCCAGACAAGCAGGCATCTTTTCACATGTCCCAACACCTAAAATATAAATTATATATACCACATATCCTACATTCAGTCAGTCCTGAGTGAAGGGGATTATGCGGAGGGCGGTACACCGAGTGAATGGCTGTATGAGACAGTCTTCCTGATGAGAGAGACTGTTCCTGACCATCGCCCCTGACACCAGGGGTCAGAGAGAGATTGTGCAGGATGAGTACCCCAAGGGGGTTAGAGTGAGACTGAAAGGCAGCTGAACCTCGCCAAACGGGGCCATATTTGAGAAGGGAGCCCAAGGGGGAGTGAAGATGGAGATGCCATCAGTACAGACTTTTGTTGCAGAGGGTGGATGCCGGAGTTGCCATTCCCACAGACAGGAGCTGGGAAGCAACAAGGGCAGCTCTGCGCCTCATGGGGACAGATTTTTGAAAACCAGCAGAGACCGTGGGAAGCCCATGTTTTTCTACAAGACTATTGGACAAGGTTAGCTGGCCAACAGTAGTGTTTGTACAGGATCCTACAATTGGGAGGTAGGAGAAGGCAGAAGGGCCAGGAATGGGAAAGGCACTCCGGGGCTAGGAGGCCAGAGGATCAACCCCAGAGGTGTTATGGTTGTGAGATCAAGGGGCATCTGAAGTGGGAGCATCCCTGTGTAGATGGAAAAAAAAAGCCATACCGAGAGACAAGGAGGAAGGCAAGGGCCCAGGAAGCAAGGGCAACAGAAGCTCCCTAAAAGTGGGGAGCCACGGGTGCCCGAACCATGCCTCCCGATGCTGCCCCTTCTCCTGGGGCCCTGCCCCCACGCCGCCTCTTTCCCCCGAAACCCCGACTTGCACTGCCCCTTCTCCCCAAGGCCACGCCTCCACGCCATCCCTTTCCCTCGAGGCCCCGCCTTGCACCGCCCCTTCTCCCTGAGGCCATGCCCCCACACCACCCCTTTCCCCCAAGGCCCTGCACCTACTCTTATCCCTGAGGCATAGCCCTCCCACTTTTAAAAGTGATGGAGCTATTCCCCCCTCACCCCCCCCATTCCGGTGCCTTTGCCAGGAAGCCCCACCCAATAAGCAGTGAGGTCAGAGGAGGATGTACTTTCGGTGTGGGGAGAAGGGCCATATAAAGAGACATTGCCCCTACAGTAAAAGGGCAAGAGCCAGAGGAGAGGAAAGAAAAGAAAGAAGCACCAGAGGCCCATATGAACCTACAGATGTGGTAAAAGCTGAGAGGCAGGTGAGACTGGTGGGAGGAGAGAGACCCCCAGGGAGGAAGCTGAGGCATGCAGGAATTCACACCGAGATGAATCACAAGATGGTGGAGACTCAGACCCTGAGAGCAAGAGGGACTGGAGGAGTCAATGGAGCAGTGAAGCAGCTGGAGGGGAGGCTGATAGCTGCAGAGTAGGCCTCTCAGGAAACTGTGCAAGACCTGGAATCACAACAGAGGAAATTGAGAGAGACCATGGAAGAGAAAGAGAAATTATTCCTCATGGTGGTGATGTAAAGCAGCAAAGCAATGGTTTGTGCACTCGGCTGCATGAGAGGCTGGGGCGGTGATACCTACACTGCCCCCCCCCCAGTAGCAATATTGAGAGTGAGGGCACATGAGGTGGTGTCTACCCTACACAGTGCTGGAGGGGTTAAAGTGGCCAGGTAGGCCTGTAAACTGCACAGGCTACACCTGGAGGGAGAGCCAGGGAGCAGGGAATTGATGACAAGCAGGTTCAGCTGGGTAGGAAAAGGCAGGGCCTACAAAACCAGGAAGCTGGTAACAGAAAAAGGCAGCTGCTGAGAATGGGCAGTCCCTCCCTGCGAAGAGGGAGGAGGGTTTGGAGGCTGCAGAGACTTGCAGGCAGCAGTCACTTCCTGGTAGGAGGCTTTGGAGCTGGCACACGCAGAACAGGAAGCTGTCCAGGGAAGGAGCATTGAGGGCTGGGAGAGGAAAGGCCAGAGCGGCTGTGTGTAGGGTCAGTGGTCTGGATCCTGGCATAGAGGGCCGGCCAGGGTTCCCCTACCAGCCACCGGGGGTGTGGCACAGACCGGCGGGGCAGTAAACAGGAAGACTGCCTGAGTCACTGTGAGAGTGACAGAGAACTGAAGGACTGTACACCAGAAGGAGGGAAACACTGAGTGATCTAGAAGGAGGGCTGAGTCGAGAAGAGGACATTGTGGTTTCTGGAATGAGAGGGCAGCTGCGGACCAGACAGAGAGAGACGGTGTGAAGGCGTGTGACCTCGGGAAGGGGCATCGATTTAGAGAGCTAATCCCCAGAGTGACCAGGCGTCAGACAAGTGGTGAGTGGCAAACCCCCGTGGCAAGTACTTTTGGCCACAGCATAACAGTTGGTGCTCACGTTCAGCTGATAATCCACCGCCACACTGAATCTTTTCCAGAGTCACTGCTTCCCAGGAGAGAGTCCCCCATCATGTAATTATGGCCAATGTTCTGTGTTCCTAGATGTATACATTTCCATTTAGCCAGATTAAAATGCATATTGTTGACTTAAGCCTAGTTTACCAAGCACTCCAGATTGATCCATATCTAGGGTGACCAGATCAGCAGTATAAAATATCGGGAGGGGGGGAAGAAGAAAAAAAAA